AGCAGGGCCAATACACCCCACAGAACCTCAGTTCTCATGTTATGTTTCTTCTGCTAATACTGATACTATAGCATGCACTGCAAGCTTTTATATACAGACTGGCTCACATACACAACCATCTACATACACTTACCATGCGCCAGACAGGCAGTGCCATCATTTTGTAGACGGCCCCAAGTGCATTCTGACACCTCTAAATGATAAGGCCGCTGGTCAGATGTCTCTTTAAGTGGCGCTTGGTGGTAAGTGACGTGTGCGTGTGTGTGCGTGTGTGTGCGTGTGTGTGCGTGTGTGTGTGTGTGTGTGTGTGTGTGTGTGTGTGTCTATGTATACAGTATATGTGTCTGTGTATCATCATGCTTTCCAGTCAGCAGTGGCATGACCTAAGGAGCCATCTTGGATCTCTGAGCTGTGTATTGGGAAGAATGCAGTTTCACTATGCAAATACTTAACACTGTCTACACTCCTAAGAATGAAACGTACCATAGTAGGTTAAAACTGCTGCTCGTGGTTCCATGGTTTAGATTAGGACAGGAAGGAAACAATGTTAGTCAAAGGAATATAAACAGTATCGTGAATATGATTTATTACCATAACTGAAGGCATTTCTTCCTGCCATGAGTTTGTAAGGTCAGAATAATACAGCCTATAATCTAAAATTATAGGCTGCATTATGAACAGGCATGAACAGGCGGTATTATAGAAAAGAAGAAGCATATACTGTGAGTATGTTTCAATAATAGGTGGCCTTTAATAGAAAGTAGACAAGAATTACATGGACTCAACTTTCAAGAATCAATTATAAATTTACATGTTTTATAACAAACAAGTAATTTTCACATATTTAAAGAAATATTTACAAAATAAATATTTGAGTTTTAATGTGTATTCGGTGAGTTTCAAAGTTAAGAGTTACACAAACACCATGTTCTCATTTTACTGTAACTCCACAGTATTAATCAGACAAATCAGAGCCTGAGGTCTTTATTAGTTTCTAGGGTCTTCGCACATTTTGGAAGTGCAGACTTTGATGCACTATGATAAGAGATTGCATTTCATGGGTGGAGCTTTGCCTTGTTCCCTCATTCAGAAGGCACATAAATGGCACATTTAATAAGGGATGTGCTTCACACAGACCCCTAATAATCCTGCAGATTTGAATTCTAAGGAGTCATTTTAAATTCCTATTTGGAGAAAATTAAAAAGCAATTTAAAAAAAATCACAAGGTCACTCAAAACTAAACAGAACTGAAATAAATAAATAATATTTAGAGAATCATTTGTTTCATTTTGCTGAGAAGACTAATACCATTGTCATGCTCAGACCTCATGTTTAAAACATACAAAACCTTTTTTTAAATTTGCTTTTGCTTTTTCTTTACACTCTTGGCATGGGACAATCCTCCACAGCTGACCAAGGTCCCAGAGGACTTTGTAGGACCTATGATGGCCAGCTAGAGCCGGAGAATTATAGGGAATGTAAAGTATTTGGGCAATAAAATATGAGATTTATGTGGCTTTGCAGCATTACAGATGTGCCACATATACTTGCACAGTGTGACTTTAGCTGCCTTCAGGCTTTGAGCAGACAAGGACATTAATCTGAGTGGTAAGAAGGAATATAAAGGGAGTGCACTGGGTGTGATTGAAAAGTAATGTGATCCTGGACATGCTGCAGCAGGAGGTGTCTCTGTGGCCTGATGGTTGAACTGCTAGCTGTTGGAATGCATTTAAATTACCCAGAATTCATCATTGTTGTTGCTGTTTGAATCCACTTCAGACCAATACAGTTTGGACTCCTTTCCATCATTTGAGGAACAGGCTAACCAAATGACTGTGGCTGTGGTGAATGGATGTGGATCCTGAGCACCCAGCTTTTGGGTGCTCTCTCATGAAAACAGAGCCAGGAGAGCCTGAAAGAGCGTAATGTCATGGCTTGATGCTTTGGCTTTATGAGACATCCAAACAATGAAAATTAAAGCAGTGACTGCAGTCAGCAGTTCAAAGCTGGGCGACCTTCATTTGGTTCCAGTTGCAGCAGCTGTGCTTCAGATGGGACTGAACTGGGAGCACATCCAGTTCCTCTTCATTGGATGGGAATGGGGTGGCTGAGAACCAGTTGAAACTTTAAACAGTGATTGCTTTTAGCACTGAGTGAGTTATGGGCATATTCACAAGACAACTCAAAGTTATGGATTGTAATGGATAATTCAACCACAGGCTGCTGCTACTTCCTGCTTTCATCTTTCGATCTGTCCATTTGTCTGACGGTAGAATCCAAAGCACTTGCTCTTGTATTATTATACTGTGGTGGACCACTAGAGGGCTCCACTCACACCCAGTGTTGAGGAAGTGTGTGTTGCTGTGTTTGTGGCGCGATGTGTTCAGTTGATGTTGGAGAGGAATAAAGAAGGAGTGAGAATTAAGAGCTCTGTGTCATCCATGCTTACCTCCACAATACAGTCTTTATCTTACAATTTAAAGTGCCCTGAGTCAACTGCTGTTATGATTTGGTGCTATATAAAATTGAATTAAATTGAATTGAAATTGGAGGCTGAGGGAGCTTCTTCAGGGCCACACAGTGAGCTACCTCAGAGAACCTGTACACAGTGGTTAATATAACTGTCTTTCTATCTGAGAGGAGAAAATCAGTGATAAAATCCAAAAAGATGTATGACAAGAACCTATTTGGAATTGTTAGTGGGGGAAGGAGACATGTGGGGGAGGCAGGAACGTATTCTTTAACACTAATGAAGGACACCAAAAATATTGTTTCAGGAAAGAAGTAGTTCTACTTACCCAAAGGTAGCAGGCAAACCTAGTGATGTGGTCCCAGTGGAAGCTGGGAAGGAATGCCATGGTGGTAATTTCAGTTCTTAAAAAAAAAGTTCCAAATACAACAAAAGTTGCCTCGAGATGCTGTAAGGTAAAAGTCTTCCATCACCGGTACAAGCGGTACATGGTGGACAAATTGAATCTTCTAAAAACAAGAACCATTGTGTAAGATTGGAGTTCAAACTTTTAGCAGTCTGCAGGTAGGAGAGAAATTGTAGTCTGTGGTCCAGCTGGACCTGAGGTGGGGCCAGGCTTCACCTGTCAACCTCGAACAGGATTTTGAAAAAAGTAGAGGAAAATCCCAATCTAAACACAAAGATGAAGACGCTAAAGAAGTCTCTTAGGACATCTTTTCTGAGGGTCTGAGACACGTAGGGATCGGTTAACCCAAACAGCATACGAGGTGTTTGAAATGTCCCAGTGGAGTTTTAAAACAATTTTCCATTCATCTCCATCTTGGATTCTAACCAAATAATTAATTTTTTAAAACCCAGTTTAGTAAATAATGTTGCAAAGATCAGAAGACAGAGTTGATTAAAGACTGTGGACTTACTCTTGACAATGGTTTGGTTAAAGTTCTGTAATCTATAGATGGTATGAGTGTTTTATACCTTTTGTTGCACACTCTACTTCAAACATACAAACTACACTTAAAATAAAATATGACAAGAAAACTATTACATACTCTTACTATAACTAAAAAACACAACTTTTCCTCAGATCCCCAGACTCTTGAATGATGCACATGGTTCATGACAACCACTTCAATAAAACCTTAAATCTAAAATGATAAATCGATAAACCACCCCGCCATTTTCTTCTGCTTCTGTGAAGTTGGGCCGTAGGGGCAACAGTCTAAGCAGGGAAGCTGAGACCTCGCTGTCACCAACCAGCTCCTCCAGCTTATCCAGAGAAACATCAAGGCATTCCCAGGCCAGCCGAAAGATTTCTCCAGCATGTCTTGGAGAAATCTGGTGCCAACTCGTTACAATAGCAATGATTAGTCGTCTAGTCGTGCACGTGCCTAGTATATTTCTAGACGAAGAGATTTTTAAGATGGGTTGTCAGACCCAACCCATCAAAAAATATCCATAAAATTCAGATTTTTTTGGAACTGAGATGTTTATTAGCCCTTATAACAAAATCCACAAATCTTTTTTTTTCCTACATAATGTTGTGCATGATATATGTTTATTATATATTTATTATATATTTTTTGTATCGCATTTGATACATTGGATGTTTTGGCAACTTTTCGTTAACAACAATGTTAATTTTAGACAAAAAATGAGTTTTGTCCATAAGATTTTGAAATTATGGCAAGTATTGATCATGTTCATGAGATAGAGGTCTCAGAAACTCATATTAAATATGATACAAAGGACATTATAGGGTTAATACCCTGTTCGGTGCCTGTAACAAGAAATCACATGTGATTTTTCTTCCCCCTTTATTATCTCTAAAAGGGGAATTTATTTAACAAGCTGGGGACTTGTAAAGTGTGGTGGAGTCAGTGTGAATTGTTATACATCTAGTGGAAACAATCAATATATCAATCAGTCAAACAGCCATCTAAACCATGTGGCCATGAAAGGTGGTTTGAACCCTCTAAAAAGGTCAGCAAATTCAAATTCACTGATGATGATGTAATTGTAGCTTTAATCAGTGGAGCTCCTCACTGATGATGGAGTGCTAAGCTGTACTGTAATTCACTGTACATCACTTCCTTGTTAGAAAGCGTTTAATCAACCTCGGAGACGCAATCAGGTGCCAAGCTAAGCATGTACACACTAAACTACTCAGCTGATCAGCAGTAACGCACTGGCAGTGAAATAAATGGGAATGGAAAATCATTATCACCAATAAACAGTTCAGCATATTAATCAATGTTGTTGAGTAATGATCTGTGTCAGATCATTACTCTTTTTTATGAAGACAGAAAAATAAATCTGTTATCAAATGAATTCTGTATATAAACGTCCTGCATAGAGCTCCCTGCTGCTGTCAGTTACTCAGAATGACAAGAGCTTCTTCATTAAGACAACACTGCATGTTTCAGTGTGTGTTTTTATATTTGACAGTTCAAAGGAAAAGTCTCCCGTACATTTGTGCCTTTTTGAAAGATGTTGGCTGTGTCTCATGGTCAGTGATGAGGGCCAATGACGTGCAGTTGTAAACATTTATTAAAACATTCAACAGTACACAAGGAACAGTTTGGCTTTGATTATTTTAAATATTCTGCTGAGCAACAGTATTTAATAAATATTAGTAAATAAATAGCCTTTAAATAAAAGTATCTTTGGGTAGAGACGTTGCAGTTTTGGAATTTAGATGGTAAGACTTCATCTTTGCTTTGGATCTGCAAAAGAAGAGTAAGAGAGTAAGAGTTAAATCTGTGGTACATTACTCTAACCGTGTTGTAGTGTAGTTACTGTAACTTACTGTATCTTCCCACAGTGTTGCACCCCAGAGAGCTCATGGAGCCTATTCTGTCCATCCGTCGCCCAAAACAACCAGAGGATTTCCTAGATGAATCATTGCGGACACTCTTGAGGTTCTTGGCTGAAAGAAACTCCCGGATTTCAGCTTCATCTAGTCCGGTGTCTGGCTGATGTCCATCTCCTGCGTCCTCTCTGCTAAGGCTGTCTAGAAGATCTCTCTGTCCAGGGGCATTTTGGTCCACTGCCGTTTGGTCTGAAACAGACTCTTCCAGTCTGCTTAGGAGCACCTTTAAAGATCCACACAGATGAAAGTTGTACTGTGTCTTGAATAATAAACATGGCAATTTAACTATGGCATGATGAGGATAGACAGAGGCACTCAAATGTATTTGTCAACAGTTTATGTCTCAGTTTATTGAGATTATTAGAAGCAATGTTGGAGCACAGGTGACAGATAAAAATGACCAGACTTTATGCTTTTATCACATGAGAGATCAAGGCTAAATATTGGGAACAGCTATGGAAGGAAATGCAGGATGTTGTTCAACATTTTACGTGAATAAAATTGAGTTCCTTGTTCTGATTGCTGCTACAGATTGCCTGAAACTCCCAGAAAGACTCAACTTTTTCAAGAAAAACTTTAGTGACTTTAGAGACTTACCTTCAAGATGTCCATGTCAGTGTCAGTCAAGCCAGTGCTGATGGGATATGTACTAGTCAGCTGCAGCTTTAAAATGAGAAGGAGGCTACAGAGCGATATAGAAGACAGACGCATGTTGCTCTGTGGGTTGCTGCAGCTCGTGTTAGTAGTTGGATGAATGGATAAATTCTCTTTTTCTTCTTTGACTTGTAGGTGTTTGGATGCCGGAGCCAACAGCAGCACTCTCTTTTATACTTAAGGTTAACCCACATAGGTATGCCAGGAATTGGACCGGCATGCCTGACACCTAATTCTGATAACACGAGCTGTCGGAAAATGCTCCTTTTAAAGCATTGTATGCTAGTATTCTTATGACATAGCCGCTTACATATGCTACTTTGCTTGAGAAACATTCTCCAGAGCCTCCCCACCTCACACGGGACACTGTTGTCACTGAGTTACAGGAAGTAGTAAACTAATGTGACAACATGATAGTGTTACTAAATGAAGACACAGATGTAATAGTTGTACGGTCACCTCGTAATAATTGCTCTGAGAAATCATCTTTTAGTGGAAGGAATAAAAATGGGGGGGGGGGGGGGGTCCACTCTGCTAATGGGCTGTTTACATTGCCTAATGTTCTTTTCTTGAAAGTGTATTTTAAAGTCTGTCACCTTTGGATGATTACAACATTTTTAATTGTCGGTCATCACTGACCTGCTGTGAGAAGCAAAGGAAAAACAAAACACTACACGTATCACTCACAAGTCTTGTGATAACTTTAATCAAATATAGCAGTGAATTAAATGATTATGAATTTAGGTGAAGTACTGTCTCTAAAAGACGGATTCAGCTCTGCTTTCATACAGACAGATACAGGAAATCTTTTATATTTCATGCAGTTATAGTGACTGACAAGTAGTAACTGCTAAACTCACTGCTGGGATTTTGGTAGGTCTAAATAAATAAAATCGTATTTATTATTGTAGCAGTCTCATTTGGACCACCAAGTCACAGAATCCTCAGTAATTGAATGAACACAAACACAAACAAAAAAAACAATAATTTAATGAACAACAACAACAACTAATTTCACTTTCTTGTAAACAAATTAACTTCAGAATAAACTCCTTTAAAAAAATTAAAGGGTCATCACACTATCTGGGTTTGGGGCAAGGTGGAGCAGGAAAAGCACTGCTAGAGCCAGATCACCAGTAAGCTACTACTGCATTTTCAAACAAAACATTCGTGAACGGACCTAGAGAACACTACAACTAGCAGGTCTGCCACTGGTGCCCCAATTATCCTTGCAGATGAGAGCAGGTTCAGCCCTGAATCCAAATAAGAATGAGAGTCCAGCTGTGGTGGGGTGGAGCAGCGGGTTTAGGGTGTGGAAGCAGGGGAGGCTGATCTTCACAACTGATGAGCATCATTTAATCATGCATTACCTATTCCAGTAGCTGCTGGGGCCGGAGAGGAGCATTTTCATCCAGACACAGGAGCTGGCGTGACAGAAACTGACAGCGAAGATAAAGGAAGAGCGCTGCAAAGTTCAAGAGCACATCAATCAAATAAAAACTGCCCAAGCATCCGGGTCGTGCCAGGAGTTTTTTCCACAGTGGTGCTGAGGAAAATTTCCTCCAGGCCCAGGAGCGCCCGTACAAAGGGAGCGGCTAGATTCTGGCAATTTTCACTGGGAGACAAAGTGCTTGTATTAGTCTCTCCTTGTAGCTTCTCTGGTGACCCTGTAGCTTCTCCAGACCCTTCTCCGGTGGCTGGAGGTGCCAAATTTCAGCTTTCTGGCCTCCCCCTATTGTGATAACCATCTCATACAGGCCCAGAGAGCAGATTTTGCTGTGTTGCAATAGCAGTTTTTGCAGATGTGTTCTCCCCCCTGCCCGGCTGTACAAATGCCATGGAGCAACATTTTGAAATGCGGCCTGATGTGACAGCACGTTCAGAGGTTACCTGAACGCCAGAGACAAACTGTGCAAAAGGAATTGTTTGAACTGCTCAAGCTGGGAATGATAGAAGAGTCAAACAGTGCATGGAAGAGTCGCACAGCCCCATAGTTCTTGTACTAAAGAAACATGGGTCCATATGGTTCTGTGTTGAAGTTGAATGAGGTTTGATGTTTGATCGACGAGCTCCTGGACCAGTTGGGCAGAGCTAGTTTTTTTTTTTACGATGCTAGACTTAACCAAGGGCAACTGGCAGATTCCCTTATCTGCAAAGAACATCCTTCACGAGCAGATAGAGAAAGTGGCTGAAATCCAGAAATCCCAGAGTGGCTGAACAAGGCACTAATTGTGGCAGTACAGAAACAAGCTTTCAGCACAAGATCTATAGAGAATGAAACGCCACAACAAAGTGGCCGGCATATTGTACAGCAGGGGTCCCCAATCCCAGTCCACGAGGGCCGGTGTCCTGCAGGTTTTAGATCTCGCCCTGGGTCAACACACCTGAATCACATGATTAGTTAATTACCAGGCCTCTGAAGAACTTCAAGACATGTTGAGAAGGTAATTTATCCATTTAAATCAGCTGTGATGGATCATGACACATCTAAAACCTGCAGGGACACCGGCCCTCGTGGTATGGGATTGGGGACCCCTGATCTACAGTAACATTGTAGCACTCCTACCCTTTTATTCAAAAGGCCTGCTTTCAGTAATGGTGACCACAAACACTTACCAACAATGCCATGGCCACGGTTAGAAAAACTGCTGAAACGGCCAGCAGTTTTTCTAACCGTAACAGTGGTCCCAGTGGTAATCGGAGTACTTGGTGCAGTGACTCCCAAGCTAGGCGAGTGGCTCCAGCAGATCCCAGGAACAACATCGGAGATCTCTGTCCAGAAGAGTGCAATCCTGGAAACAGCTAAGATGCTGTGCAGCACCCTAAAACTCCCAGGGCTCTGGTAGAGGACCCGAGCTTGAATGATGGACTTTAGACAATAATACAATAATATATGGTGATGGTGACGATTTAATGATTTTGTTTGCTTTCCACCAGGATGTTACCAACTTCTAATTTCTAACTTCTTAAGTTCTACATCTATCTGTGAGTCATTGTAGGTTTTCTTTTGTATCCATTTGATTAAATATTTTAGTTCACTGTGACATAATAATGCAAATTTGTACTGCTTCTAATCTATCGTGTCATTTATTATCTTGTAGTGTTGCTATGGCAATTTTGGGTTTCTTGTTTTTCCGATAGATTTTTGTTGCTCATGCATCGAGGAATTTAAACCAGTTTTCTGTGAGTGCTATTGGGGGCATTAAGAACAGATAATTATTGTGTGGACTTTAATTTTGACTGTTGCAAATCAGCCAGTTAATGACAACAGAAGGTTGATCCAGTGTTTGAGCAGATACTCACTCGTATTATTTGAGGTATTTGTGTCTAACTGATGAAAACAGTCATACAATTTAAAAAGGCCCCGACATAGTTTGGACTGGTTGTGCTGGTAAAATGTGTCTATATTGGAACAATAGTCATGAGGAATGGGTGAAAAAATTGAGAAGTAGTAACTAAAGGAAGCATCTAATACTCTACGAGTGTATACATGCCCACCTGACAAGCTTCACTACTAATTAGGTTTGTTTCACTAATAGATCCTGCCCTTGACTGGCAACAACTTGAAATGAGGTTCTAACGACAGTCAACAACACCTGTGTTAAGTAATAAGTAGGTAAAACATACTTTATTTCCTCTTCGGTAAGAAATACTTGACCACAAAGGAATACTTTTTGTCATAACTCATGGGTGTTTTATTTTATAATTGAAGATTTCAACACAATGTAAATGTAAACATTCAGTTGGTTTCATCACACAAATATCACAAAAATAATGTTTACTCAAGTGAGTGAAAATAAACTGCACATTTTTTATTGTTTATATTTGGTTGGAACCCTTTGAGTGGTCAATAAAAAACTATTCAGTTCCAACTTTTAGATGTTCGTTGACCGAGGGGCTGGTATTTAATCCCGACTGACTGACCCCACATATTTAGCCAGTCTTACTGTTTGTGTGCGTTGTACTTCTACCTGCCAACCTGCAGGATTAGCCATCAGTTATGAAGCACTTCTTTTCTTCTTTTTGTAAGATATTTACTTGTTACTGTACAGCAGAATATTATATGATTCATATAAAATTATATAATGTATCAGACGAAACACAATGAAGTTTCATGCAGTGAAGCTATTAGACAATATCTAAAACAAGATAAATAAGGCTGATGTCAGGCTAATATATTTTACATTCTGCTTTCATCCAAACAGCACAGAAACAGTGCAGTGACAGAGCACATTTATCTGTGAAGTAGTCACTGACATAATAAAAAAAGTGTCTATTTTTGGGCACCAGTTTAGCTCAGTTGGATGAGCAGACGACCATATGTAGCATGGCTGAGAGCAGGCGGCCGGGTTTGGACCTGGTCCTTTGCTGCATGTCTTCCATTCTCTCCTTCACTTTCCTGTCAGCCTTCACTGTTTCTGTCTAATAAAGCCAAAAAGTATATTTTAAAAAATACTTCATTTTTGTACTTTTGCTCATCATTTGAAAATTTTTATTGGTTTCTTTTTTGTTCTGAGACTGGTTGAGAAATTACAACAAAGTTTTAGAAATTTGGTGAAATTCAGTTTGATTCATTTTGTCATTTTTAACATTAATTGTTTGCTTGTTTTTTTCATTTTGGTCTACTGGCATGTACAATCAAGAACATGTGGAACCAAATGTTTCATATGCCGTGTCTCTGAAAGCTGTGATTTATATCTTGTACCTCAAATACTCAAATATGAGAGCTTTGACTATGGACTGCTTGTGAAGCCTAACCCAGCAGCTTTTTATTTTCATCCACCCATCTCCTGCTAACCAGTTCAGGGTGGGATGGCTCCTAGCTCAGCTATCATGGGGTGAGAGTCAGAGGGCATTCACGGAAATTTAAAAAAATATATTCATTATATTTTAAGAAATATAGGCATTTAAAAAAAAACGTCTATATTGCTCCTAATGGAAGCAATAAAATCAGCAGAAGTGATCTTGTTTCCTATCAGGTGATCACATGATCAAATGAAACAAACCAAACAAATCCTTCAGGTACCGGCTCCCCATATCACAGACACCTTTATTTCACGTGTATATATCTCATTAAAATATTTCCTGGGAAAGTCTGGAGCTGCTTTAAATTATGTCAGGAAAGAATTGAATGCAACACTCAGCAATTATGCAAAATAACTGTTTT